TTCCCCAAGTGCCAGGAAATCTTTGGCTAACCCTGGAGGCAACTCGATGGCACATAACAACAACAACAACAACAACAACCCTGGCCACCTTTCTCTGGTGGTTTGAATTTATAGGCGACTCCTTGAGAGAAAGATGGGCAATCTTCCCCTGTTCAACTTACAACTTCAGATACCCACTGGTTAGCTAAGAGTCCTTTTTTTTAATTAATAATTTTAATGAAAATTTACAGAGACTTTGCATTTCCATTCATTCATTGTTGTACTTTTCTCCCTGCCCACCCCTCACCCCCCAGTTAGTTCTTCTCTCTGAAAAGTAAAAGAAAAATTCTTTCATTGTTATACAATCCCTCCCCTCAAGTCCCATACACTATGCAGCCTTCGATCCAGACTCCCATCATGACAATAATACCCAATCATATATCCCTTTTAAACAGTGCTCTCCCTCATCTTTTTCAAGGCAGTATACATTACTTATCCCATCTTTCTCATTCTCCCCCCAACTCCAATGCCAGTCCCGTTTTACAACAGTAGCACTATGCAGTATAAGGCTAGGAGTCTATGTTTACTCCATGGTAATGACTTTGACTTTTTTTTTCCCCTTTTGACTTGGTACTTACCCAGCAAACTTAAGGCCATGATCTCGCTCTTTGATGTAATCATGTATATGGAAAGGGAAGAGATACAGTTCAGCTCATGAATTGTTTATACTCAGCAACAGTTTTTATTTTCACTGCCAATTAATAACTCTGCATTCAGGATTTAAATATTCGTTATAAGTCTTTGCTAGAAAGAGGGGAGGAGATGGGAACAGGAAGAAAGAAAGACACGTGAATATGGATGACAGAGAAAGTTTTGTTTTGGTGTCCTAAGGCACTGAGACTGAAGATGCAGGGGGCCTTGGTAACATGCATGGCATCCTAGGAAGCTCCTTGGGGAGAGCCCGATGTTCTGTACATACTCAGCATTCTCTTGCATGGTGCCTTTCTAGACCTTATGTGGTAAACTCCTTCCTTGAAAAATCTCAATTGATGCTAGTTTTAAACAAATACAGATTTTGATGTTACTAGTAGCATAGTATAAATATATACTTGATAGTGTAATCCATTGATACTGTGATCCATTGTCACTTGCACTGCTAGCCTGAAGTATACATGTCTCTGGTGCTTTGAAGCCAGAAGCTGAGTCTATTAGAGAGAATGATGAGCTATCTCTTCCTGTTTTTTCCTAAGATTTATAGCTTTGGAAACCCACTGGAGGGCCAGTGTTCTCAGAAGTGACTCAGTGATAATAAGTGAGACTATCATACTCTTGTAATTCAGTAGGAACTTTGTGGTCTCTGAGGGAGAGAAGTGTACTGCCAACCCAAAGTAGGCAGTTCAAACTTACCAACTGCTCTGCGGGAGAAAGACGGTCATTCCACTCCTGTGCAATTTACAGCCTCTGAAAAACTCACTGAAGGGTCAGCTGTGAATCAGTTCAGAATTGATGCTTTCAGGTTGAGGATTTTTTTTTTCTTCAGTCATCCAGTGGTTTCAATTAATCTACTATTTTTTTATATGTTTAAGAGGAAGTGCTGACCAACTTTGCTTTTATTTCAAAAGGATGTTTATCCTTTTTACAGGTGTGATTCTTCGTATAGGGCTTTAGGTGTTTTTTATTTGTGTGTAAAGCCATTCCAAATGATTCATTGTAGCTGAAAATTTCCACCACTTAATGAGAATAAAAGAAATAACTTTTTCTCTTTCCTTCTAGAGAGTACCTTTTGATTAGAACTTAAAAGCCTTCATGAACCTTTCTACCTTTCATGCCCCTGCTTCCTAATTTGCTTACTTAACCAGTTTGCTTGGGGGCTCTGATGGCCTAGTGGTAAGAAGGCCTGTTGTTGTTATGTGCCGTCAAGTCTAGTGGTAAGAAAATGCACTGCAATCCTAAAGGCATGTGGTTCGAATCTACAGCTCCTCTGCAGGAGACGGTTGGACAGTCTCTTCCCATGTGATTTACTGCCTCTGAAAACCCACTGGAGGGTCAGCTATGGGTCGGTTCTGACTCACTTGAAAACAACAGTGTTCCCTACTGTAGGGGTAGACTTGTTAACAACCAGAATAACTGCTTAAATTTGGAAGTGTTAACAGAATATAAAAATAAATGTTAATAACCTAATATGAAAGAGATAGAGGAAGACTTAGCAAGCTCAATTGACTCGGTGACTGTAACGGTGAGTTCAAGCTTATAAAAGATTGTGAAGATGGAAAAGGATAGGACAATGTTCATACAGGTGTCAGGGAGCCGCTGTGAGGTATAGCGGACTTGATAGCACCTGCCACCATCACCACATGAATAATGTTCCTGGGTGTGTTTTGTTAAAGGCATCCTGATAATAATAGGTAGCAGCTATATTGGCAGGTCCTTTGAGCCATCACTTATATTAGGCAATTGTGAAGATTCAACGCAGTTATAATACATTGATAACTCTTTTCTGTGTGTATGTGGTAAATATCCAATGCATGCCAGTCTTTTTTTTTTTTGTAATATCAGAAGCACTTTATTGAAGATCTAGGAGGACAGAGAGAATCTTCTCAAAACTACCTCCCTGAATAAGAGTGGTCATTAGTTTTTTTGTTTTTGGTGGGTTGTTTTTTTTTTAAATATTCTTTCACTCTTTTTTTTTAAATTTATTTTTCATTTCAATGAACATCTACAGAGATTTTGGAATGCCATTCATTCATTGTTGCACCCTTCTCCCCGCCCCCCCCCATTTGCTCCTCTCCTTGAAAAGCAAAAGAAAAACTCCCTCATTGGTATGCAATCAATCCCCCCACACACATCCCCCAACCCCAAATATAATCCACTCTGCAACCCTCATTGCATACTCCTACGATAAACAAAATGCCCTAAAGTATAATACTTTTAAACTATTCTCTCCCCCATCGACTTCAATGCTGTAAACATAGTTCATCCAGTTTTTCTCAGTCTTACCCCCACTTCGATGCCAGCCTCATTATACAACAGTAGCACCATATAGCATTTGTCCCTTTGTGACTGTGATACCTCACTCAGCATAATGTCCTCCAGGTTCACCCATTTTGAATAATATTGCATGAGTTCCTTGTTTTTCAATGCAGCATAGTATTCCATTGTGCGAATATACCATAGCTTCTCTACCCATTCGTTTGTTGATGGGCATTTAGGTTGTTTCCAACTCCTTGCTATTGTAAACAAAGCCGTGATAAACATGGGTATGGATATATCTACTTGGATGTCATTTATGGTCTCTTTAGGGTATATTCCCAGTAGTGGAATTGCTGGGTCAAATGGTATCTCTATTTGCAACTTTTTGAGAAAGCGCCACATCGCTTTCCACAGTGGTTGCACCATTTTACACTCCCACCAATGCCAGTCTTTTTAATGTTTCCTTCTCCTCTTTGTATTTCTTCCTTTTCCTTCCTCCCTCTCCCTTTACTCTTAATAGGGACATAAAGAGCAAATGAGGATGCAAGAAGTTAGGAATATATTTTTTAAAGTCAATCTAACTTTTTAAAAGGATAACTTTTTCAAAGTAAGAATATGGGTAAGTGTGGGATTGAAAGCTGATGACTGAATCTGAGGGAGAGTCAGGATGCTCTCTTTGAGTTAGTCGCAAATGTGTTTTGAGAAACCCAAATTCATGTTCCTACTTTATTCATAATCACATGCTTATTTATTTGGTGTCTAGAAATCAAGTTGGAAAGAATTTTAACAATGTTCTATGGATGCTATTTCTTAGGTAGCTCTGGTGGCCTAAAGGTTAGGAATGGCACTGCCAACCCAAAGGTGCTAGTTTGAATCCACCAGCTTCTCTGTAGGATAAAGATGGACAGTCACCTCCTGTGAAGTTTACTACCTCTGAAAACTTGATGAAGGGTCGACTGTGAGTGGGCTCCAACTCAGCAGTATACAATGACAACAATTTCTTAAAGTCTGTTAGAGAGGATTCTGGTCCTCCAGCGTCATCGCTTTCCAATTCTGAAGTTTCCAATACATTATTGCAACTTGAATGAAATGAAGGATAATGTATAAACTGAGGGGAGGTGAAACTTCATGTAACCTTCTGTAGACAGCCACCAGCAGAATTGACTTTCCCTAAATGTGGACTGCAGAGGAGCAAAGAACTTGATGGACTTAAAACTAGTGTCTGAATTGCTCCTGGTACTAAACCGGGTGCCTGGAGAACAGGGAGCCCGTGACTTTTTATCTTCATGTTCGAATTTCATTCTATTCTCAAGTGGATATATGTTTAATCTTTATTTTCATTAGTATGTAAGATATAACACAAACAAAGTCGCTTGATTTGAATGGCTTTTAAGAACATTTAAGTCAATTGAGAGTAAGTACTGGTGTCTCATATTAAAAACTGATACTGATATCAAGAAGTGTTACCCAGTTTTCAAATAATTTGAAGTTGATAAACAGGTGACTTATTTTGAAACGTTCCCGTGTTGACCTGGGAATATCTATCTGGGAGAAAGACGGCTGCAGGACCTCTTTCACAGACCTTGCTTTTTTGTGTGAATACATGTGTGTACATGTGTATGTGTGTGCACATAAATGTACGTACTTGTTCTTTTTGAAGGGAGGTGATGAACACTGATTGGGAGTCTTGAAGACCTAAGTTACCATTCTTGATTTAGCGTTTCCCTAGATTTGCCACCTTGGGCAAATAATTTTTGAGTCATGATGTTTTATGCCTTGCAAGTGCCAGGAAGGCACTTTATCGTTTTCAAGGTGCTATAAAGTGTGAGATTGTATTAATTAGCTTTAATAACTACTGGGGTTATGCTGAAATTGGTTCATGAGTAAAATTAAGTTCTGTTGAAAAACTTCTATAACCCTCCACCTCAAAAAGTGCATAGTTCTTAGTGATACCAAAACAACAAAGCTTTACAAAGGTAAGTTCTGTTCTCTTTTTGCCAGATCACCACAGTACTAACTTTATTTCTGTCTCTTTTAATGCTGCCTCTTAGTATACGCTCCATTCAGCATTCAATTAGCATGCCTGCTATGAGGTAAAGTATACTTCTTACAAAATGTGATTAGTCTTATGCTTTTGTATTGGCTAGTATTTTACTTCAAACCTGTGTGTGTAACACTGCATCTGTTTTACTTGCTCTGATGATTGTAATGTTGGAGTGGGGGCAAGAGACTAAGGGCATGTGTGTGTTTAAAAATTGTTATTTCTAAAATAGAATGAAATCTTTTGAGCCCTGGTGGTATAGTAGATGTCAAGTTTTCCAAAGATTTCAGCAGTTCAAATCCAGCAGCTGCTTCACAGGAGGAAGATGAGATGATCTGCTCTTGTTCAGATTGGAAACTGGATGGCGGGCTGTCTTGTGTCAGAATTGATGTGATGGCAGTGGGTGTGGGGATGGATTGTATCCTTTCACAACAGAAATTGGTTTAATTGGAAAAGTGAATACGACTGATATTTTCATGAATATAGATGTCTTCTAACCAAAAGGGCAGCAGTTCAAATCCACTAGCTGTTCCACGAAGACTTTAATTATAAACTTTTATTCTTCTTTGTCTTCTTCTTGCGTCTTCTGTTCACTTCTCTTATTCTGGTTTGGCATTTGAAACCAACTCTGTTTTAATTAGGGAGCCATTGGTCTCCTGGGCAAGGAGGTTCACTGTAGCTGAAAAAGCAGGTGGGCAGCCTCCTCCTGTGCGATTTACAGCCTCTGAAAACCCAGTGGAGGGTCAGCTGTAAGTTCTGAGTTGATGACACGTAACAACAATTACTTCAATCTTCTTGGCCTCTGTCATTGTAATCAGTGACAAGTGGCTTTCTCCTCTCTCACTGAGCCTTTGGCCACTCTAGGAAGGCAGAGGATTTTAGCAATCCGTGCTTTAATGTGTCAGAGTTACTGCAGGGCTTGCAGATCTGCTTATTGCCCCTGAGGTTCTAATTCTGTGGCCTGAACTGGGACCTCAGAAACTCCATCTAAGTCTGGGAGAGATGCTGCTGATATGAGAGGGCACAACCCCTGGCTTAGAGTGTGCTCCCCGGCGCTGCTGTGGAAGGGAGCATAACCAGGCCACTGCTGTCTCTTTTGTTTTTCATCTTGGTGGTAGGAATATAATTCAGAGTTAGATGGAGAGTATAAATCAGGCTTCAGAAACCTGGGTGTGAGAGACGAAGGTGCTGTGATCAGCCTGGGGTGACATAGGTGAATGTGCAGGTGTGTTAGAGCCTGTCCACAGCCTCCACGTTCTCCCTGCCCCAGGGCAGCAGTGACATGCAGGGTGAGCTGAGGTTTTGTGCTCTCTTCTTTTTGTCCCTTCCCTGGTTATTATTCCCTGGTGGTGTAGTCTGTAAAGAGTTGCACTACTAAACCCAAAGGTTGAGCTTCTCTGCAGGTTTACATCCATCAGCTGTTTGCTGGTGGGAGGAAGCGGAGGAGTCTCCTCCCACAGGATTTACAGCCTCTGAAAACCTGCCGGAGTTACAGGGCTGAGTCATTCTGATCCCAAAGCAATGAGTTGAGTTCCCACCCTCCCCCTGTTTATTAAGCACCAAATGAAAGCTCATAATCTGTTTTTTCCTGGTTGGGTGCTGAGAGTTCCTCTAGAAGTTTGGTCTGGGAACATGAATTTAAACATGAATTCCAGAGCATCTTAGCCAAAATTATACTGGTCTCATGGTGATTTTGATTGTAGATTGGGGAGAATTGATTATCGTTGATAGTTGATTTTATTCCTTTTTTCATGTTTGTGGACATATCTGTATTATCTATGCCCCAGACTGGCTTTGTTCATTGATTCAAATTGTGGAAATGTTAAAAAAGATATTTGAACTCATGTAGTAATAATAGACATTCCTCATGAGTACATCTGCGCAAATGTGGTACAGAATGGGAACTATAAACATTTATCATATAAAATCTCTTTGTCTCCCAAATTTTATTAAAGTGGCTTATTTTGATAGTGTATTTAGGTAAAATATTGTATTTTAACACAAATAAATGGATAGAGCAGGTTTCAGGGCTCTTGTACATAGGGTCACTATGACTTGAAAGTGACTCGGTGGCACATAACAACAACAAAACTCTTGTGTTTTATTTTAACAAGCATGCCTCTTTCATAAGTGCACTATGGTTGTTTTTTTTTAACATGTTGCTATAATAAATAAATAACAGTGAATACTTTAAAAGATACCAGAGAATGTTGTAATAAGATGGCAGTTACAGCTGGTAAAACACACAACATTAGTGAAGCATATTATTTGAGCAAAAATAGGGTGTATCAGCTTGGTGAGAATAATAGAATCTGACATTTTTAATACTTAATGAAAATTAATATTTTCAAAATTGTTTAGGTTTTTCCCCCGTGTTTGTAATTTTTGCCATTTGTTTTCATTTTCTCTCCTTAGAAATTCCCCAACTTTCAAATCATTTGAAGAAAAGGTTGAGAACTTAAAGGCAAGTAGAGAGATGAACAGATTGCTTCAAATATCTTGCTTGATGATTTATTTTTTTATGTGGTAAATAATTTCCATTAGTATTTCTTATTAAGATATTTAATGAACTTTAAAAAATCTAGTCTTTAACTTATCACTAATCATTAAGAGTTATAAGGTTTAAGGTTATAAGAACATTTAAATCAGTATTTGAGTGTATGTTGTACGTGTCAGCATGCTAAGTGTGAAAGAACAGTATAACTTAGAATCTGTTTTTTAGAAATGTATATATTTTAAAGCAACAGTGCTTAAAAGTTTGTGCTGGTGTTTTGCCTTATTAATTTATGATATTTTTGTAACGGGACAAAATTTAATATTATATAAAATAAGACATTATGGAAAAACATAAATTTTTTTTAACCTATTTGTTCCCCTTACCAGAAACAATAATGTATGTCAGCAGAGGGATTTATACTCTTTAAAAAAAAAATTAGCCATTTGTCGTAAACACTTCCTCATATCACTAAATATGTTTTTCAGTGTTTAACGGCTATCGGCATATGCCTAATAATAGATCTTGTTTGTTTAAGCCTCAGTGACTGGAAGTCTTATTATAAATAATGTCATAATGACATTCATTGAAGATGTATTGTTTATGTTCTCGATTTCAATTAATGGGAATGGCATCCTGTAGTTACTGATTTAACGAATGTGTATATTGTATTAACTTCAAGATGGCACTCAAAACTACAAGTCATCAATTCTCAGGACCATATGCAAACTGAAAGGTCATCTAGTTCCCATCGATTCCAGTCGCTCCCTACAGAATTTGTACGAAATCGTGGTTGATGTTGTATGCTTCCAGAGCCATACTGGAAAAAAAATTGGAAATGGAAGCATGCATGCTCATTTGTTTGTACTCTGACTCTGATAATTATAGTGGATATATTTTAGGGGTTAAAATGAACATTTTAAGTGTTTTTTATGTCAGCTTAAAACAAAACTCACATTTCATCTTTCAAATGATAATTGAGGTACATTGTTGTTGTTGTTATGGGCCGTCAAGTCGCTTGTGACTCATAACGACCCTATGTACAGCTCCAGTGATCTCAACGTTTTTTCCCCCTTGCACATATACACTTTAATACACATTTTCTGTGTCTACACATGCTTTTATAAATGCTGTACAGAAAGGGCTCCTACTGTACACACAGTCCTATACCCTGTTTATTTTAACATTGACTAGAATGTGTAAATGTAGGCTTTTTATGACCACTGATACATATCCAGAGTTTGGGACTGTCCTGGTAGCTACTCAGTATAGATTTGATGACTGAGAAATATAGTCCGTCTAGGTCAGTACAAGAGACTGTGTTTTCTTTTTTAATGCCAAACTACATATTAGAAAAGAAACTATTGTGAAAAGTCAGGGCTTACTATAATTGCATTCTCAATATTGTAAAGGGAGCTCTAGTGGCTTAGTGGTAGAGAGTTGCACTAACAGTCCAAAGGTGAGTGGTTCAAATCCATGAGCTGCTCCAATGGGGGGGGAGGGGGAAGGGTAATCTCGCTTGTGAATTACAGCCTCTGCAAGCCTGCTGGGTGGTCAGCTGTGAGTTGGAGCTGACTCTGTGGTAGTGAGTTTTCTGAGTTTATCAGAGTCTTTTCTTCAAATCTAACCTGAGCTTTTGTTTTATAAAGGGCTAATTGGAAACTCTTTACCAGTATGTGCTGGTTTTATAATATGGATAAGGATAAACTTCTCAGTCATTTATTATCCACAGTCCTGAGTATATTTATCTACTGCTATCAAGTCCATTCCAATACAGAATGACCCTCCATCAGGCTTGGACCCCTGTAAATCTTTCCAGGAGGTGACTGGAAATCCACAGAGTGGCTAGTAGATTTAAAGTACTGACTTTTTGGTTAGCAAGCTTGATGCTTATACTGCTTAAATTGAGAAGCTGCTTACTGTACAGCAATAAGCTTTAAAAATATGTAGTGTTTTAAGTGTGCATTGTTGTTGTGTACTGTGGCATTGAAACCTACCCATAGCTGACCCTCCAGCAAGTTTTCAGAGGCATTTAATTGCATAGGAGGAGATTACCCATCTTTCTACCACAGAGCAGCTGGTGGCCTCGAACCATGTGCCTTTGGGACTGCAGCACAGTTTCTTGCCACTAGAGCTCCCTATTAAATGTGCATACTGAATAGTAAATAATATGCACACTATTTTAAAAGTATACTCAGGAAACCGCAAATAGAGTTCTATTTTTCTTTATATTAAATTTTGATAAATCATTTCTAGTCGGTTAAATACTGACTCTATATAAATACCTGTAGATTTTTCATTGATTCATGTATCTGAATACTGAGTATCTCTCATGTGGCAGGCAGTGAATGTTAGGCATTAGACATACATGATGAAGTGGGAGACACAGACGGTTTCTATAAGATGCTTAGTTGATTAAACAGACAGAATAAAGAAAATCCTGCAGTGGGAAAGTGTAGGGAACAGTGAAGATACACAGAGTAGGTTGACAGGAAGGAGGGCAGAGAAGGTCTCTTAGACGATGGGAATTTGATAGTATAAATTGAAGCCTTGAGTGCCCTTTGGAGGAACACTAGGAAGTTAGTGCATCTGGGGAACACCCTGGAGGCAAAAATGGCGAAGCTTTGTAAATCACACTTGGAACGTGTAGCTAGGTGAGGTTATTCCTTGGAAAAGGATATCATGCTTAGGAAGATGGAGTGTCAGTGAAGGAGAGGAAGACCCCTAACAAGATTTTTGAATGTGTGTGGCTGGATGAACAATTTGATGGCATAAGAAGTATCCTGAGAATTCAGTAGGTATTTTATTAATATTAGTATCTCGGCAAAAGACTGCAGTAGTGTTACTAAGCCATGCTGAATGACAGCAGCACTCAATTCCATATATTTGATAGTCACTGAGCTCTATGATTGCTGATATGTTTGTTCTCTAATCATGGAGTGACTTTATGCAGAGTCGGCTAACTTTACATTTTCTGTTGCCTTTTCCTTTCTGAACTTTTTTTAAGTCTAAAGTAGGGGGAACCAAGCCTGCTGGCGGCGATTTTGGCGAAGTCTTGAACTCCACTGCAAACGCGAGCGCCAGCACCACGGAGCCCCTGGTGGAGCAGACGTCGGAGAACCCGTGACTCTGCCCACACGGCGCCACCACTGCCGGATGCTGCAAGGGACACCCATGCACATCTCCTCAGCGACCATTGCCATGTGTTTCTACCAGATGTGCTCTTCCGTAGCTTTAGATAACCCCTTTGGCCAACTAGCTTGTGGGTTTAAAAAAAAAAACAGAAAAAAAATCTTCACTTATATTCTTGGAAAACACCCTTTAATGTGCATTTAAAGCCCTTTATTAAAACATCATTACGAAAACACTTGTGGTACCTGAGAACATTCATGACCTATGAAGCTGCCATGCTATCTTAGTTCTTTCCTTCTTCAAAGCCACTCTCGAAAGGGATTCCTGCCTGGTCTTTGTTTTCTCTATGGTCCCCCTGACTCTCCACCTGTCACTCTGTTTGATTCTTAACTAAAATGGTTTCTTTTAATTCTTCTGAATTGTGGTTATTAAAAGTTCTGGTATATAATGCTCTTTACCTCCAAAGGAAGGACTGCTAGCTACAAAATTGTTTGAATAAACATTGGCTTTGAATAAGGCCATCCTATCTTGAACATCCTGGACTAAATATCAGTTCTACATCCAGCTATTAGGTTTTAAGTAGGATTATGTACAGTACAGCAAGTCACTAGATGTCTTGCGTAGAACCCTATAACTTTTCATCTTCAAATGACACTGGAGCAATTCAGAGTATTCATTATTATGCCACTTCTATCAGTTTCTTTTTTATCAGAGTAAAATTTTAATTTCATAGGCAAATTTACAAGATAATACTCAATAATAACTCATAGGTTAAAATATGGAACATATTCTACATGCTCAGTTCAAAACTGAGAATTTTTAGCTGTAAAAATGCTTAAATCTGTCAAATTAGGAAATGTATTGCTGTCCTTATTTAAAACTTTTAGCATTATTTGCCCATAAGAAGCATGCAGTTATCAACTAATAATCCTTGACGTTTTTTCCTACGAAGGCGTTGGTGATAAGTCCTGAGGATGGTATGCATTAAAAAAAAACAATACAATCCACAAAATAAATAAACCACTCTCAGAACACACCCACAACAACAAATTTGTTTTCAGTGTATCAGAAATCATGAAATGATATCCTTGACTTTGCTCCTTTTAAAATTCAATGTTTGGCTGAATCAGAACTTCTGAGCACATCTACTTAGAGACCACGGTAGTCTATTAAATCCATTAACTACTTATTAATCACTAGCACACTTTTTCTTCTGTGGTATTGGCCTAGAATGTTGTATTTACTTATCACGTTGGTGATTGTTCTCTTATTGTTTATGCCAAGTATTAATTGCCAAGCTTGGAGTAACCTCGAGCATTTTTTAAAAGCATGATTAGATTTCCTTCAAGACCACTCTTAAAAAACCCAAATCTGAAAAGCTAGTGTTGGCTTTTGTTATAACACTGCCATTCTTAATTGCTAGAGCTTTGTTAGCAATTTAGATGTAATCAAAATCATGCTGTTTCTTGTAAAAAATGTAATCAGTTCTGTGTATCAGTAGTGTAGATCTCAATATTTTGAGACCATTTGTCTGGAATAATTTGTTGCATCAAAGAATCAAGTGGTGGCTATGCTAAAAAAGGGAGGGGACAGTTTTTGTAGTCTGACCACCCCATCATCATTAAATCACTGCTTACTGGTATCAGGCCAAAATACTCGAAATCATTTCCTTCTAGCTTTTACTAGGCCAGTTACTGAAGCATTGTCTTAACAGTAGATCTGCAGTATTTGTCTTTTTATATGAGTGTTGTGGTGACTCAGTATAATTTGTTTTTTGCTACTAGCTAGTCTCTTGATTTTCTTTTTTTTTTTTTAAATCCTAGCATCTTTTCATCACATTCTTGCCTGGTTTTCCTGACCTGTTCTGTCTTTTCAATGAAGTAAAATGATAGTTTCTTGAATTGAGTACATTATCTTCAACTTTCTTGATTTCCTTTATTGAGGGGAAAAAACCCTACAGAACTGGGACTGAGAATGAAAATGCATCTATAGGTGGATATTGTGAAAAGCTGTGAAAGGAGAAATTTCCAGCCATGTACCTACACTTGTTGGAAGCAGGAGTGGCATCCATTTCCTAAACAACATGCCTCCAGAAACTCTGTGAACTTCGATAAAGGTCGATAGTTATAGAAAGGATTCAGGCTTTTTGTTCATAGGGTGACTTTGAATCTTGCTTGACTCAAAGGCAATCAACAACAACACTTGTGCTAAATACTCTGTTCCTTAAAAGAAGCACACACACAAAAAAGAGTATTGAATAATTTAGAAAAATTAACATCGATTTAGAAACACTGAAGTGGTTTTGGCAGCAGATTCAATATTCTGAATTTATAGGCACTTAACTCATGAACATAGTAATGACTAAGAACATCAGAAAGACATCCTGTTTTTATTTTATATTTGGTACCTTAAGAAAACAGATAAACTTGTAAAATCTCATATTTTAGGACTTAAGAAAAAGTGTAATAAGAGAAAATATCTCTGAAATATCCTTACCGTACAGAGTTTGTAGGAAGCAGAGCAAGAGTTCTCATGCTAGTAAGACCAAAGTAAGCAATGGGAGGGAATTAGACTTGTTAATCAGAGTATCACTTTAGCAACGTGGAAGCAACTATTGAAATAGAGGGCAAAACCCATGTTTAATTTGGGCTCAAGTTATACAGTCTTTTTTTTTTTTTGTATAGTATTTGGAAACAATAAAAGTTCTATAATTTAGGTATGGATTCCTTTGTGTGTTACCTGCCTGTTTGCATCTTAGATAGGAGCGTCTTTACTGAATCTGCTCTCAAAAGGCATTTATTTAGTGACTGCTGCATAACGTGCCAGCCCAGGTATCCATAGTAAGTATCAGGATCACATGTGTTCCTGTAACTCATTAAACCCTGTTGCCATATCAGCTTTTGCCCGTGGCCAGGAGACATTGGGCATTGCAGCCTTTATGGTTACTGTCCAATTTGAAATGGATTGATGACAGAAGACCATTGTTAGCTCACAGTTAATACAAAGCATTATCACTTTTAGGAGTAAATTATCTCCTGGGAGCCTTAGATACAATATCTAGATTGTTTTCACTAAATTTACAATCCTTTTGAAACAGCATGGACAAAAACTGTTTTACAACATTCATTCTTGGTTTTTAAACTCCCAGAGGAGCCTGCCATCATCAGCTGAATTAAACTTAGAGCTGGGACTTTAACAATTCCTTTTGCTTTGTAGACTCTATTGTACTTAGTATACAAAGCACTGCCATAAACTTGAGTCCAGTGGCATAATGTTGAACCACACACTGAAAAAGGAGCAGTTCAGATCCACTAGTTGCATAAGAGGAAGGTGGGCAGACCTGAGACTTAGTGGAGACTTTTATGAATTGGGATTGACTTGCTGGCAGTGAGGTGGTTGCCCTTAAATTTAGCATAATGGTTACCTTGGTTTTGCAAGTGAGGAAACTAGCAACATGAAATTGGCTTGCCTATTATCAGGGAGCTCTGGTGGCTTGATGGTAAGGAGTTACCAACCAAAGGCACACTGTTTGAATCCACCAGCTGCTCCATGGGAGACAGATGGGCAGTCTCCTTCTGTGCAGTTAAGTGCTTCAAAAAAACCGCTGGAGACTCAGCTATGGGTTGGTTTCCTACTTAGCGGTACACACAAAGAGTTCTGGTGGCACAGTAGCCAAGTATTTGGCCATTAACTGAAAGCTTGACCATTTGAACTCACGCTGATACGGGAAAAGCAGAGGGTCAGAGACAACAGTCCTCAACGTGACGGCCTGACACTGTAACAGTGGTCTTGCGCATGCTGGACATCATGAGGATGCTCCAAGATAGGGAAAGGTTTGGATCTGTTAGTCATAGGGTTGCTCTGAGTCATCGTCCACGGGGAAGGCACCTAACAAAGTTGTTCCAGGAGAGAAAAGATTGGCAAGATGCTTTCAGAAAGGTTAAATCCAAAAAGCTCATGCCTAGTTCTTTTGTACCACGTAGGGTACCTATGTCTTAAGTGGGTTCTTTGTTTTTTTAAGGGACTTCTGGTGGCCTAGTCTATATGGAGTTACTCTGCTAACCCAAAGGCCAAGCCTCTCTCTGGTAGTGCAAATCCACCACCAGTGATCTTTTCCTGTGTGATTTACAGCCTTGAAAAGCCAATGGAGGGTCATCTACGACTCGGTTTCGAGTCAGTATCAATGAGATGAAGGATTTTTTTGGTTTGGTTTTTTGCCATCTCATCACCGACCGGTGAGAAAGGATACCCTGCCCAGATTATGGTAGTTAATTAAGTACTGACGCCCAATATTATAGATAGGGGGAGACTGACAGTCATTATACTCGCCTAGGGAGGACACTACATGTCCTGTGTGCAGGGCCATGTGGGGGTTGAGCTCTGGAACAGAATGAGCCAAAGTGGGAGGCATGTTTTGCAATAAGAAGGTGGGATGAGCCCTAGTGGGACAATGTACTTTATCTGTTTGGATACTATTTTTTAAATTTTCTAGTAGTTTAATTACAAAATTCAAATACATTGTTTTCAAGAACAAATTGTTTCAATTTTCCTCACCCACCCCCACCCATCAAATTGTACAACCCCGTGATTAATCTCCCCTCCTCCTGCACATCCTCATCCCTCTGCTTCCAACCTCTCCCATCCGTCTTGGATCCTTATACTCGTTCTACAATAATGGTTTTATACAGTATTTATCCTTGTGGGACTGAGTTAGTTCACTCAGCATAATGCTCTCCAGTCTTTCCCAAGTTAGGTAATAATTTACAAAATCATTGCTCCTGCATGCTGCATAGTATTTCATTGGATAATTTTTATGGACAGGCAAGAAACTGAAACCCAGTATTTCTCAGTGAGCTGGAAGTAGGTCCCTGTGAAAAACATGATGGTAAAAAACAAAAACACATGATGGTTTGGCCAGGTGGCGGTATCCCTAAGAGAGTAGAGAGGGAGGGGTACTCAGGTTAAGCCATTTGATGTCCTCTCATATTTACTAGA